CAGAACTCGCTTGATAAATATCTCTATTTTGGATTTATTTCACGGAACGATCAGTTGACCTTGAGACCACATTTCTCACTAGGAAAATCCCTGGCTTTGATTGGTTATTGTGTCATTTTAGTGTGCTACCTTTGTGACTCTCCCAAGGACGTCTCTATAGAGTATAAATAAACGCAATTTGAGTACTTGGATTCATTGTGTGCTGGCTGGGTGTTTGTCGAATACAATTTCTACACTATATCAAGACTTCATGCTGATTCAATTTGGTCAAGGGATCACAGTAGCCTACCTGGACATTGGTTCATTGTTTTATTCTTTTTATTCGACTAAGGTGAACTCGTAATAGTTTAAGCATACCTAGAGACGAGCGTAACAAAAATGAACTAGATGGACTTAATCCAATTGGAGGGACTTAGTTATTGAAATAAACGAATTTGGAGCCATGGAAATTCTAGGTTAGAATTTAGCACACATTTGAGCATAAGCAGTGTACGGAAAAGTTGTAGATTTGTATGAAACACCTGACTTCAGTCTTATGACGAAAAGACCATTTTTCAAATTTGATTTTAGTTAATTGTTTGTGGTAATTGGTTGAATTCTAGAGATAGTTTTCGATACGGGCTGGTTTTACATGGTGAGACACTAAAGATCAAAGCCAACCGAACAGTTCAACTGAATACTGTGACGATTCTAAGTCCCTCCACTGGTGTAGTTACAGGTATTTATAACTTTGGAGTACTAAAATAGCACGAAATAACTATCCTGTGTTTTCTGGTTGGTCATGGTTATCGAACTACGGTCAATTAATGCGATCAGATGTATTTTGTAAAATGCTATAACTAATCTTTCCTTCTGTATTCATATTTTGATTCACTGTTTTGTTGTAAAAGTTTGAAAAGAATTTGTATTTTACAGTGGAGAGTTGTGTTTAGTGAATTTTTTCTGGTTGCGATTTGTTAGTTTTGATCGATGAGAAAGATGTTGACATATTAAGCAGCTATAATAATATTATTTATGTCATCTTACAATCATAATTAAAAATAAATCGTTGATGAAACGATAGACTAATGTAATGTGATATGATATACCTGTAAACGGTTCTTTCCAAAGTGTCTTTCAGTATTTTATTTGTAATTATCTATCTTCTTCATTTCAGCTTAGTTAACATTACATAGAAGGAATGGATCTAGACCATTATAATTAGTTCTGACCACAGGTCACCCAATATCTACAATCGCAAGTCCCAATAATCTCTCGAATCGTAGTCAGATAGTCTACACCCGTCAGTATGTCTCAGTATAATAGTTAAATAGTTAAAAAATGAAGAATTGTATAATTTAAAAATCTTGTGATCCAGTCCTTTCATATCTACACAGATGTTATCACTTGAACTGTGTTTAAAAGATGTGTGTATTACATATGTGTCAATCGATCGAGTGTCATGTTGACTTTATATATGAACTAAATGAGATAAAATACCCAATCACTACTCTCAAATATGAAAAATCTAAACTAATAAGGTTTTGATGTGTCTTTTCAAACTGTAGATAATTCAAAAGAGATAGACCAAAAATGAATTTTTCAAGTACAAACATTTAGATTTTTTGGTTTTTATTTCTGTTTCAAAAACGTTTTCAAGTTATTACGAGCTGATTTTCCTAATCACGAATTAACTGTAGCAAGACAAGCTTCAAAAGCCAAGAAGGAATGGACAGTTGTCTCGTCTTAGTCTTGGACGTTAGTTCCTTCACCAAGGATTGTAGCCAAGACATCTAGATTTCGTGGAAAGAACTTGAAATTCAGTGGTTTATATTTCTAACCTCAAACAATTCATGATACCAAGTAACCGTCTTCCAACTCTACTAGTAATCAATCGCTCAGCTCTCGACATAGTTCAACTCCATGAGTCACTTATAATCACTGAATAAATCTGCAGTTGGAGAGCCAATACACAATGCAACCTTTGGTACTGAGTCTAGTAAAACCGCCCCCCCCAAGGCCGTGAACTAAAAACTGTGAGATAACAGGAGAAACTTTTACTCCAGTAAGTTTTGGAATGTCCACAGAAAACATGTGTATTTACATTTTTTTGTACACAGTGAAAACCATTAAAATAATCCAGTCTGCACTTAGCGATGCAACACATCACCCCATGACCTAATGCCATATCGAAAATTTAAAAATTCAATCAAACGATGATTGGACGAAAACTCTTTGAGTTCTTGCAAGCCTCTTAAGGCTCCTGGGAGCCATCCCAGCATTACCATTGAGTGCTTTGAAGATTAGTGAATTTGGAGTTTCACCCAGTTTACTAAGATAAATTTAGATAATTTTATGAGAAGACGAAGATTATCAGAACTTTGTGACAAATTGACACAGTATATTTCGAAAAATAAAAGGTCAACTAGGTAAATGAAACGTAAGGCTAAGAAAGCAATGTGAAACTCCTCCCATCCTGAATAATAACACAATATTACCAAGATAGATCGAGAGTGAGAACAAACTGTTTTTGAATACATGATAGGGTTTGAACTTTCTTATGACCAAGACTTCATTTAACCCTTGAACTCTTTTGTATAACACTACAAAAGCCAAGTTAAGATCAGTCTTATGACCTTCTCCAACTAAGTATTTATTTATGATATAATCGTATAGGGTCATTCGATTTTATTTGTTTTTGCAACCATTTAGGTACATGTTCAGACATCCTGATTCACAAATCGTGATTACTCCTCTTCATGTGTGTGTGTGGCCACACACATTTAAACTGACTAACGCAATGGAATGTGATACAGTTGTTATATGCTTTTTAGGTTTCCAATGAAGCATAGACCTTTGCTGCTTAGTACGTCTTAGTGAAAACATATTTGAGCCTTTGTTTTAATATAAGGCTATTTGACTCACCTCTGAACGGCAGATTGATATAAACGGGTTTTTTTACGCTAAATATATAATACATTTGATTACGCTATGGTCTTTCCATCGATTTTACATTTTAAGCGGTAATCACTTTACACAAGTGCTTCTTTCAATAGCCTCAGTTCATTTTCAAAAGCGTCACGATCAATCCCACTAAACAGCCCCTCTATCAAACCCCGTATGTATTGAACTAGGCAATAACTATGATAACTTAGATATTGACCTTTTAATATGGGCTTCCTAAACCTGGGCCATTTGACTGAACCATCCTCTCACCTACTTATAAGTATGTCTAGAAAAGAAAGTTCATTGATCGTCTCCTTTTTCACACAAAAGACTGTTATAGTTTTGGAGAATGTTAAGTTTATTCAGTAACCGATTCATGTCTTCCTTTTTATCACAGATAACTAAGATGTTATCCACATATTTCTTATAAAGGCACATACTTTCAATTAGGTCTTCTGCCAAATTTTCAACATGTAAATCACATAAGTCTCATAATCTTTGCCTTCTCATTAAGCTATCCATATTTATCAAAGCGACAAATTGCTTTAAATTTACTAAGATACTTGATATTCTAGATTGTTATGCTTTATCCAATAGTAAGAATGTAGCATTAGCTAGATACATACATCTAATATAAAATAAGTATCTAGTAGTCAGAAGTCATCCTCAACGTTTTTAACACTTCTAGTATGATATCCATTCAAGATTTTCAGTCATTTTCTTGCTTATTTATAGGGTGAGTGTTGCAATATTAGAGTGTAATTTTCATTTAATTTTGCATTTTAAATATTAACTTTCAACAAATTTATATATTTCATTTGACATTTTGAGACTATACTATGCTGATCATATTCTAAGTAGACTGTTTCGAATAACTTTAACTATTTAAAACGAAATCTTTGATCAGGCTAACATACTGATATTCAACACTCATTAACTAAATGAGCAAGAAATTGACTAGAAAATCTTGGAAATAAGACATTCATCAGACATTGGTAGCCACAGATGTCCAGTTTCCGTTAGTTTATTTAAATATTTTCCAAGTTTTTTTCACATCATGCGTTAAATGTCAATTTTTGCCAAAGGTGCGACAAAAGTAATTTTTAATATAAACTGGCAAAAATCAAATAACACCGATACTACTGTTACATTTGATATGGATCCAGTGGCCTGAAGTGTAATGACTCACTCTAGGAACTAAGGTCCTGAGTTCATTCCCGTGTGCGATCGTGTGTATGCATTACTGCGGGGTCTCATACTAAGGATGAAACAATTGTTTACGGCTTACTGATTCTCAACAGTTGTCTGAGATCAATTCTCGATTCAGACTATGAAATTCAAGAATCTCTTCAAACCCTTCAAAATATTGCTGATATGTTATTTTGATGTAGACTTATGACATTTTGAAGATGATTTTGTAAAAATGAGTAATACTATTATTCCGGTCTCTATCTTTATTTGTAGATGATAATAAGCACTCTGCAACGGGACTGAAATCTCACTTCACTACATCATACGTTTACAAACATGATGCTTTACAAAAAATATTCTATTTCTTAGCTTCTACATCCGATGGAACATTCAGCATTCCGAAATGCTTAAAGCGAACTTTGGTTTTGTATACAGTATTTCCTAAAGACAAATAGGATGACTGTCGTAGTTGAATGCTTTCATAATAATGATGTAGTTGCCTATTATCAAAAATTTTTGCTTACTTGACACTATTAAAATCTCAGTGAAAAATATTCCATTAAAATAATTTATGAATCATATCTTTTCGAGGAACGATCATACTTGAAGCTAATCACAAAAATACCAGATTATAAGTGCATGTGACTGGATTAGAAATAGTTTTCATTTCTATAAAATGACACAGACCACTGAGAGCTCAAATTTCCAAGGAAAATTACAGATATATATATACATATATCCTCGTGTCCTGGGGCATTGTATATCAGTACATAGTTGGACAGTGAACATTAGAACTATCATTATTATTATTAGTATGGTCATAATAATAGATGGAAATATTGGTAATCATGACAAATACTGCTAATAATACTACTACTACTTACATGAGATATTTGTTCCAATTTCGATGTGGCAAACTCTAATTTCTTCCTATCAACATGATCATATGGTGTATGAGCAAGTAATTCATGCAAAGTGATTATGTAACGTGGAATCTGAAAAAAAATAATAAACAAAATAATAAAATGATTTACAAAAGAATTTAGTGGAGTGTGATGTAACAATACATATATATATATATATATACCTTCTGATTCATCACTTCACTGGCATAGTAAATCATAATAATACTAAAAGTAATTTAAAATGTTTTAATCAAACTCATGGTAAATAACTGAATTTTATCAGGTATATATATATATAACTTTGTAATTATCACGATCAATTGATTCTATATTATTAGATAAATTTGTAAATACTACACTAGAATCCTATCAAGTTGATCTACGTTTTATGTGAAGCATTTAATGCGATGATACGCTTGATCGATGCTGAAGCAGATCACGTGATTTTGAAGCCACTATTCAATAAGATGCTGGAAGTCTGTATAAATCAACAGTATTTTACGGTAAGAGTAATGAAATCTATCACGGTTAAATACTTCAAGGTAATTCAATGGGTTTATCAATTTGTATATTCTAAAAGATCGATTGATAACCACATCGACCTGGTTACAAATTTGATCGAACCCAAGATCCGTTTTCTAATATTTCTCATAATCATAAATGGTTTTTTTCGAAAAATGTATTATCATTTACAAAATTTGTTTTAATAAATTCACTCAACAGATAAAGTTGCAAAACAACCATCCTTGTTGCTTCATATCGATATTAATAATAACAATAATAATAATAATAATAGTGGTAATAGTAATATAATAATGCGTCGGAAATAATTCCTTTATGATAGCCGGTGGTCAACAGTAGGTTGATAAGCCATTGGTTCCATCAACTTCATTTTCAGAGAAAACATAAATATACATATGTATAGAAACGAGTGGAGCATATATTTCTCGATTTGATTTAGCCAATAAACACTCTCTAATCACTCTTGGCTTTTTTTCACTCAAATCGCTGTTCGGACTGCAATACAGGGTTAATCATTAACAGACTTGGATAACTCAAGAAAACATAATAATAACCTAGTCCACTATTAAGCCAAATGAATTGGCTAGCTTACATTATCACAGACAGCAGTTATGTTAATATTCTCAAACAAATTGCACACTAGGAATTAAAGTTTTGCTTGTTTTTCGAAAAAAAAAATACTAGTCACATTAAATTTCAACAGTTTGTTTTAATTAATTTAACTGCCTTTCATTTCAGATTCTAAAAATCAGAAATAGGCTATGTGTTCATGAATTTACGGCACATTTTTCCTCAATTCGATATAGGTGTAGTATCAAGTTGTTTCAGGCGTTGATTCGTTCACTCAGTGAATGAGCTTTTGTATAATTTCCAATCAGGATTTTGTTTTAACCCCCCAACTTTCAATACATTTTTCATTCCTTAAGTTGGGATATACTACAGACAGCCGGAAATGATTGAAATGAAAATTATGTTCGTATGTCTAGCACCCATTACGGAGAAATGCCCGAAAATGCTAGATGTTGCACTTTTATTGAACACTTAAGGAAGGAAGAGTAGCTCCACAACTTAAATAGACTCTATTAAATTAAAATGGTTTGAACAATTCAACCACCTGCGTCAAAACAGTCGACAAGCATGAGAGGACCGTCAACTGAACACAGTAACTATGCAATATTTTAATGACATTAATGTGACTAGCCGGTATTATTGATTCAGGTCACATCAGTTTGAAAGTACACAAATAAACAAAGTAATATTTGATTATTCAATGACTCTAGTAAGCCATATGACATTACATAACCTTTCTTACTATGAAAGGTCCTATGAATTTGGACAATAATTCGAACGAATTTCAATGAGCACCGTTGACGAATCAACAATGAAAACAAATATTCAGCTAAATTATTTTATATCTCACTAAACTACAGATATATTAAGAAGTTATCTTTGCAATCGATTATGTTATGCGAAATCCAAACTCTTTACATAATTTATTAACTAAAGTAACATTATGGATGAGGAAATGATCGAATGATCTGTGTTTATTGGTTTAAAAATTATCCAATAAGATGATTATTCAGATAATATAATAATTTCGTGGAAATTAATGTTATAAATGGAGAAATTTCTTCCTTATCATACAGTAATTTTAAAATGTAGATTAAAATGTGTTTTTTTTTAAAATACTTCCTGTCAGTTATATTTTACGAAAGTATAAGATGAGGACTGTCTTATAACAATCGCGACGAATTTTCAACAAGCCTCCAGTCAATCAGAAAACAGCTTAGTTTATGAAAAAGTGAACATTAATATTGTAAAGTATCAAGAGAATTTGTCCAATGAATTATTTTATTAATTTCTTCTACAGGTTAGTCTGTCGGTAAACCAAAGATTTCATACAAAACATTAACGAAATGCTGTCTGATTATTTCGATCATAAAACTAAATGATACCAGATTGAAGTCTGTTTCAGGGTTAAGGGTTAAAGAATGAAGGATAGTGTCAATTTGTCCACTATACACTATTGACAGCGCACAAACGACTATCTACTGGGATCCAGTCTAAGACAGCTAGTTCTGCCCTAGGACTTAATACTGTATCTGCATCAGAGAGACCGCCTAAGCAGCAGCAGAGCTTCAACAAACACGAAGAGTAAATCGAGCTACTTCTTTATTTTGACATGGTGAGGTCAAATGAATGACGCTACCTGAATCCTGTATGCACCTTCCGGAGATACATCATACATAGACGGTGCAAGATTCTGAAGTCCTAGCTAAGGAAGCCTGCTGCACTATTAGACACGATGTCCGGACATTAAATTCTCCAACATATAATTTAGAACTGGGTTTCAGGAGACCAGGAACAACGTTTCGTGAACTCATATCGTTTGGATTAGCGATGCAGGATGATAAAAATAATGTGATAAGGGTGAGTCGAGGAGATAATAGAGATGTTAGAGGGTGTAGGAAGGCTTTTGACATAGTTCTATTCGGTGAGAACGCTGACAAAATGCAGAAACTTCTGACTACCCTAAACAACAATGCAAGCATGTTAGGGATGCGGTTCTCACCCCCGAAATGCAAAATGTTGCTTCAAGATTGGCTTGTGACCTCACCGGAACTAGTGATAGGGAGTGAAGTAGTCGAACGTATAGACCGCTTCACGTATCTGGGGAGTATCATCAATGCTGATGGCCTGGTGACTGACGAATTCTCAGCACGGATTCAGAAGACTCGACTGGCTTTTTCCAACCTAAATCAATTATGGCGCAGGCGAGATATCCGCTTGCTAACCAAAGGACGAGTGTACCGTGCTGCAGTTCGCTCCATCCTACTATATGGCTGTGAAACATGGCCGTTAAGAGTAGAGGACTTTCATAGGTTACCAATAGTTAAATAATGATAACAACAACAACGGCAACAATAAAAAAAGGTACTAATCATAATTTAATTTACTTGATGCATTGGATAAGTTAAAAATGATTCAATTGATCTGCCTTCACATAATGGTTTCTCTTCTAAACGTTTAAGCATATGTGTAAATTCTGGACGTTGTTTATATTCAGCTAATACTTGCAATGAATAATGATGATTACGTACATATTCTTGATAAATTCCCAACATTGGTAATAATAAATCAAATAGATCACCTTTATATTTTGAATAAAGAAATACAAAAAACATATATATTGAAACAATGAATCGATCAATGTACGGCTGGATGTATTGGACAGCTATTTCGTCTTAGTTATGATGTGACTGTTATGATGAATCAATCAAATAATATTCATTTCATTTCAAAGAATTGTGTCAAACTATGGTTACAATATTTACACCTTTTCTTAATGGTTTTCAAACAAAATAATGTACATTGAAGACTAATTAATTGATTGTGGACCTTAGTTTCTGTATAGGGATTTATTATTGTTAAAACTTTCTAGTCCAAAACATCTAATGATCAGTATAGATTCGTGAAAATTATTGAGTTTCATCGTAATCACGAACTGATCATCGTCAGATGACCATTAAAATCCTAGTAGCAATAGACGGTTGTTTCGTCCTTGGTTAAGATTCTTCAGAAATGTGAGAGGGGATTCTTGAAGTTCTAATGCGAAGTTCAACTGCATCGCATGTGAGACAGTGACCGAAGATCATACAATAAAGTGGATTGGTTGAAGTTACATAATAACACCAATGAATCTCGACTCAATGATCTGTAGTCATTGATTCATGTTCTGTGTTGTTTTTCTCTCCTCATTATATCTACTTCTTCACAATTCACAAATCACTAGGAGCATGTAATTCGATTTTTATTAAAAGATCAATTTCTCTTTAGATTGATTGTTACTTGAATGATGAAGAAAAAAAGGGATAACAGTCACCTAATTTAAAGCAACTAATAACACTATTAACATTGAAATTTTCAGGCAGAGTTTTGGAGGTTTGTGTTTTTGCACATTTGAAATCATCAATCAATCATTGTTAGACCACCATTAGAAACCTGGAAGCACTGGACGGCCGTTTCGTCCTGGTATGGGACTCATCAGCAGTGCGCATCTTTTCAAGACTCAAAATTCAATTAATCATTGTTGACATATGTGATTATTGTATTCATTAACTTGAATTAATTTTTTAATGGTTAGTTTGTAAGCAAAAATTATGGCTGGTGGTATGATTCAAAATGCACATTTCATAGTTAATTAGATTTGTTGATAGTTATCACTGTTCACGACTCAACATCTTTTAGCAAATGATACGATTTAACAATTGACATAAAAATATCTAAAATAAGTTATATGATATCCCAAGCTTGTTATATCAATTCATATGCAAGTGTAGATATACTAGGATGAACAATCAATTTACTCCTTTAACTGAGAACAACGTTTAGATGTTTATTATTTCAGTAATTTTGATAAAAATGGCTTCATTTTTCGGTGATCACTGATCGGGAATATGATTGTAATTTGTTAAAAAACCAATGGTACTTTTATTTCCGTATTTGAATTTGTTCAAGAGCTAGTATGAATTTATTTGGGTTCTATCACTTCAAGATTTTGCTGATTTCTGCTCTCAGTTGACGAATTAATGTATCTATCATCCCATAACTTGAATGAGATAGTAATGCCACCTGACCTGTATTACTACTTCTAAGTAGTCATTATGGTAATATAGAAGGTTTTGGAATTCTTATAATTTAAAGACCGAATTGATCTTATCTAGATCTTCGATGAGGGGCGAAGACTACCTACTGAACAGCTGTTTCATCCTAGTATGGGACTTCTTAGCAGTATGAGTCCGCTACTTTACATCCAGGACATTAGCCCAGACCCTTCGGTTTCCATGGAGATTATTTAAGCGTGAGACCGTCACTAACTGTTAATATTGAACCTAAATTGCGCGACCGCCTCACTGATATTTCGAAATATATTTCTATTTCCATTAGTGAATATAATGACCCTTATTTCAGTTATATTGACTACTTCACTTTTTCTTCTTATCTGCAATTTGCATTATTAATGTTATCATCATAACCATGTACTTGCAAATCAAACGCAGTTTCATTTTTGTTGTAATGATATGGAGAGGAAATGTTTTTCGAAGAACGGAGACGGTCATTCAACTTTATTTTACTTACAGAACTTTTTTGAAGGTAAGATAATATTTCTGAAAGTGAAGGAAATAACTGTACATGGTACATGGTAGTTATCGACTATCAATGTTTAACACCTAAGACAAATGTTACTCAGTTCAAATTGCCACATCTTTGATAAGGACAAACAATTACAGGAAAAAATTACCAAGATAACGTCAAAAAAGAGCAGAATTAAAGTCAGCTTAATTGAAGATTTATTAAGCAAAAAGAGAGTTTAAAAGTAATAGATATTAGTGAAGAACTAAATGTTCGAAATGGTATATAACTGATTTCGAAGGGACAGAAGACTGATTGCAATCTAGACGATTTTTAATGCAACCGCAATGGCTAATTTTACTACAAATGGATTTTATAATTTGCTTTTAAATTTACCCTTTTGATTTATTGCGAACCAGTCAATTGATGAAAAACATTCATTACTTTAAAGTGATGAGTAGTATTAAGAAGCCTGTAAGATTGAGTTAAATCAATTTAGCTTTATTCAGGTTAGTTTTCATGGTACAATTTGTCATCATGTTACTCTAAACTGTCAATCTAAACACAATGAGAAGTACTTTTAACATAGATGGATGGTAGCCAATAATGGAATCCAGGGGATGCGTTTCGTTTGATTTAGGATCTAACAGCTGAATGTATCTACATCTCAGAATGATGTTTACTTTGGGACTCTGACTCAATACCGTTAGCTTTAATCGTCATAGAATTATTCAGTTAGCTATCAAATCCAGTCATCCACTGGTTTGTGCAATAATTCAAATGAATAGTGAGAAATAGTGTTCACTTCCTAAGAAACTGCTTAGATTCCTTAATCATATAACTCTTGAAACCTCGCACATAATTTGAAAAGTCATAGATTTCGGTTAGAATTTTAAGAAGTTCCGCGTACTCGTTACACTGCCTCATGTAAATTTGAAAGTCATTTTCAAAATGAACTGAAAATACGCATAATTTATCAATTTGAAGTATAAATACATGAAGATTCCTTTAGTTTGCTTGAAATGTACCAAAAGATAAAAAGAAAACTTTTTGAAACGAGTTATTTCTTATTAAATAACACATACAACACTTTTTGGGTGTGAAAATTTGTTGTTTAATTCATGAAGGGTGTATTGCTGTGATGAAATGAATACTATAAATATGATCACTCTTAGACCTAGTTTATGATCCATCAGGGTTTGTTTCATTTGTTTCGGTAGTTTGAACCTTCTCATTGATAGTTAGGAATGAAATTGATCAGTCTTATTTAACATATGTGTATCCTATGTGGATTGCCTGGATATAGCCGTTAGGTCACAACCTATTGCACAAGCTAATGTCTGTCTGCACTCAATAGCTAAGTGGATGACGTGTTTGAGTTTAAGTGAATGGTACTGGATAAAGTCTCCTAGTGAACATCAGTTCAGATGCAAGTACATTGAGCTGACGAGTCCTAATTAGCATGAAACGTGTGATTTGGATTCCACTGTTAACCACTACCCATCTCTGCCTTTATAAATGCTCATATTTATTCGATAACTTAATTGTTACGTTCTTAGTTAGTTAGACAGTGATGAAATTATTTATACACAAAAACAGTATACGTAAGATGATTACCCAATTGTAAAGTTGGCCAATTCTCCATTTTATTACGTAATCCTTGAACAAAAACTTGATGTAAAAATAGCACTGCTTCACTGTACATCAAATAGAAATGAAAGCAAAAAAAAGAAAAAACAGAACAACTGAAATTGAGTGAAACTAAGGCGAAAGAATTACAAACAAAAGAGAAAATTTTATTTAGTGTAAAGCAAATAGACAACAGACAATGGAAAATTATAATTAATGAATCGGTAAGTAAGTTATAGATTATTTAAAAGATGATTAGAGAGAGACAGACAGACAGATAGATAGATAAATGTCTCTGCCTCAAATATCAGCAAGTAAGTTGTTAGTAATGTATTGGTAAGATGTAATATGTATTTTTACTGTTAAACTGAATGGTAAATAGCTCAGTTGAAGATTAGATTTAAATACTTACTTACTTACGCCTGTTATCTCAAACAGAGCATAAGCCCCCAACCAGCATACTTTAACCTACTCTGTCCTCAACCTTCTTTTCCAGTTCTACTCAGTTGGTGTTAATTCTTTTCGAATTCGCCTCTAATTCATAGTGTAACCTGTTCTTCCTTCTTCCTTTGACCTTCGGGACTTCATGTAAGGGCTTGTCTTGTGATGCAGTTGACGGATTTCCGCAATGTGTGTCCTATCCAATTCCAGGGCTTCTTTCTTATTTATTCCTCCTCTGGAATCTGGTTTGTTCTATCCCAAAATAGGTTGCTGATGATAGTATTTGACCAACTGATCCGCAGTATCTGGCGTAGACAACTGCTAATAAATACTTGTATCTTCTAGAAGATTACTTTCGTAGTTCTCTAAGTTTTCTTCACATACAGTAGAACATTTGCATTCAAAATTCTGACTTTGATGTTGGTTGATAGTTTCTTCGAAATCCTGACGTTCTTCAATTGCAGAAATGTTGCCCTTGCTTTGTAGATCCACGCCTTCACATGTGCATCAGATCAACCTTACCCATCAGGGATGCTGCCTAGATAAAAGTAAAGGTTTTACATTCTCCAAAGCTTCTTTATTAAGTGTGATTTCGTTGGTGCATGTTGTGTTGAGTTGTATCGGATGATCTTGCTTTTTCTTTTGTGTATGATGAGACCTATTGCTGCAGAGGTTGCCGCCACACTGGTCGAACTCTCCTTTATTTGTTGGGGGGGGGGTGTGGGATATAAGAGCGAAATCAAGATAATTCGAGCTGTCCAGTGTATCCTGTGATTTCTCTCGTAGGTTAACGTCTTCATAATCCAGTTGATCACCAGGAGAAGGAGAAAGGATGACAGTAAGCAACCTTGCCTGACACCGGTCTCCTTTCGAAACGAATTTGTGAGCTGTCCTCCATACAAAATTCTTCAGTTTAGTCCATTAGAAGAATTCCGTATGATGTTGACTACCTGGCGCACTCCATTTTATCGAAGGAGCCTAAATCTTGTCATCCTGTTCATGCTGTTGAATGATTTTTCTTAGTCAATGAAGCTGGTGTAGAGCAATGAATTCGATTCATTTGACTGTTCCACAATGATCCGTAGTCTCACGATTTCGTCGGTACACTATCGATGCCTAGGGATTCCAGCCTGTTGATCTCGAAGATATAATTCATGCAGATATTTTATCGGTCTAGATTGGTTACGATTATGGTTACACAGATTAAATATTTGTTGAAATATATACATATGTTACTCTTTTGACTGACTAATTTTTGTATAATGATTTCGATATAATCTGGTTTATAGGTAGAATTCATAAGGGAATGAATGATCACAGATGAAGAACTGTTGAAATTCAGCGAATAATTTACAGCTACTTTATTTTGGAATGAAACTTTTAAGAATGTGCATTTATGAGTCTATCAGGTGACGAATTCAGGACCTATGAATCCTACAGAGAACTATTAATGTTTCGAACCACTGTGCTAGCATCCAGTAATACAACTGAAACTTTAATTGATTTGTCATATGGTGCAAGGACTATCTATCATCGTTGTTGACTACTGTTTCACTTTTACAATGTTTGAACTCCACCAATCATGACTTCTTATTAGGAATTCTGCCATATCTTAAATTACGTAACTAACAAGTTATATTCATTGTAGTTTATTAGAAAGGGTGTCGTAAAGATTTGTTTGATTCGTAGATTGTATTCGTCAAGGACATGTTACAATTGAAACATTTAAAATATCAGTGGTGTTAGATGATTATCTCAATATGTATACGGAAAATCAAATAAAGATAGACATACAAACCGTTAAGTGCTAACTCGGTGGTTTACATGCTAACAGTTCACTGTGAGTCCTAAATGGTATGGATTTGATCACTGTTGAGCTTGTAAGTTCACATTGTTAAGGAATATTGGATTAAGCAGATAAAACGAGTATCTATTTCCCTCTTGGTTTTCAATGGTAGTATCTCAGTGGAAATCATTCTGTAACGAATAAAACCTACAAATAACTTTATTTTATCAAACAATGTAAAAGCAACTTATATTTAAGTTATATCAATCAACCGTTTTAAAATAATTAATAACCAATAAACTATTTAATAATTTAAAAATTTAAAATTGTTTTCCTTATCGATTTTTTCATGAATGTGAATAATGAAATACAGATAACTTACGCATTTAAAAATATTGAATTGACATCTTCATGACTAACAATTGGTTTTTTTGAACTAGCCGCCATACGAAATGGTCTCAGATAACAAGTAACTAATATCGACAATTGTTGAACATATTCATCTTCACATTCAACTAAACCAAATACAATACTATTACGTCGACGCATTGATTCAGCATGATCTGATCGAATATATTCTTCAACAATTTGTTTCCATCGACGTCGACATAACCAACCACGAAAAAATGATTGTACCTTAAACCCAAAATGAAATAAAAGCATAACACTTACACACACGCACACACATACAGACAAATTGAGGTTACAAAAGAAAATGAAGAATTATCTAGCACAATAGAAATGAAATATCATTTGATCATTTTTAAATTGTACGCTGAGTATAATTCTTTGTAAAATTAGAATAACCGAATGCATGCATAAACTGAATTTCAAAATCTTTCACAGGGAAACTTTCATTCATATTTCTTTCTCTGTGATAACTGATCATGTCAGCATAGTTTTTTAAAAAAATCTAAATACTTTTGGATGAACTGTGTCTAGTACTTGGAATCCATGAGGTGCGTTAGTGTGCATTTATTAGGCTGATCAAATAGCTATATATTTGCTTCAATGTTAGAATTGAATATAGTCCATCTTTTTTAATTTATCAAACCATTGTATCGTGATAGCTTCTAATAAATTCAATAAGTATGATGTTCATGTAAGTGGTAGTAAGCGTTTGATCAATCTCATCGTCTATATTCATGAATAAATTGTGATCACTGTTAATATTTCAGTAGATAAAGTGTTGGTATCTCATGAGAAAAGGCATTAGGTCTGATTTCTAATATAGAAACTAGCACTGAAACACACATAGATCCATTTGACTATTAGGATCAAGGTGAGTTTGGAATTCCATAGTTAGTCAGAGAATCTATCCATTATATACATATTTCGCATAGACATTTCTTTAACTTGAACTAATCGATTTCGTCAGGATAAAATGAAATCTAGCAATCTGAAGTCAATCATTTGGATATTTGAATGTATAAAGAACTAAGTAGTTGTCTAAGTATAAAATTCGAAGTACCTTACAGCCTAATACATGTTAATGAATGGTTTACCTGTCAAGCTTAGCCTACTGAAACATAATTTCGACTACTGATAAAGTTTTTATCAGTTTACAACGTATATTTCTGACTTCATTTTTATGGATGTTATATTTGAGGATTTAAAAACAAACAACAATCATCTGAGTGTATCGCCATAAATTTACTAAACAGAAATTAACTACTTAATTTCAATAACCAGTAGTAAGGTTCTTATTAACGTTTTAAATTGTGTAGGAGATTCGTAATCAATTAAATATTTAGAAACCGGTGAGACTCGTTTGTTTTAGGATTACTCTCACACACACAGCTAGTGATAATATATATTTGCCATCTTCTAAAAAATTTATTTCAGATAATTCGTCAGAGGAAGATTAAACAAAACTATTGGAGGAAATATAAAGGAACTAAATAATAACTATTGCCGAGATCATAAGAAATATGATTTTCATAGTTTACGACATGGAAGCGATGTTGAACATTCCATTACTGGAAACATAAATTCCATGAACATCTGTTTCATGATAGTATGAGATATCTTCCCTCTGGTAATCGGACCCTTGAACTTCAGATCTTGTTGAAAGTGCATACATTCAAACAGTTAATTCTGAGAGTTGAAGATCTGTTACCAGTGTAGTTCAGTCATGTCTAAAGTGGGTTCAATAACCGATCAATAAAAATGAGGCATGGTTGTGCAGAATTAAAAAACTGATTAAAGTTAGATTTTTAAACCACTGAATGTCCACCCGATAGTTAAGTGCTCTTCTCGAACCTTGAGCTTCTTAGTTTCAATCACTGGGGAAACTGTAGGTATACACTATTGAAGAGTCCCATACTAGGATGAAGCATTTGTTCAATGTTTTTTTGCTATCAATTAGTTGTCTACCAAAGATCAGTTAGAGGTATAAACTATGAAATGTAACGGTCCATATGAAATCTTCACATTAAAATTCTATTCTTACTAAAGTTCGACAATTCTAAGATTAGGTATCTCCAAGGAAATCAATCATTCTTATATGTACATAGGTTAAAATTATGTGGGAAAGGAAATTCGACATAATATGAGCTAATGAAATTAGTTACCTCTGAACCAGAATAATATTCCGTCTTATTTAATTAATTATACAATCTTTGCCAAATGGATTCTTATTTTATTTACGCTAATATCATCTTTTCATTCATTCATTTCTATACAGTGTAATTTATCAAGTATTTATTAAGTAACTCTTCATTTACTTATTCTGGAATAATTATCATTTCATTATTCTAAACTTTCTATTTTCAAATGATCTAATTCCTTTCATTGTCAATACCAATTACTGCTCAACAATATCATACCTCATTCTGATATTTTATTATATTCGATTGTAAGAAACTGGTGAGATACCATAACATATATTGAATTCATTCTATTCTACCTCAGTTGTTGTTGTTCTGGTATAGTATCTCACCATGTATTGATCATGTTAACTTTAGTAATTAGTCGATTAAATTATTCGATTTGGTTGATACTATTACTTTTTAAATAACTCCATTTTTATCCTACATACTTGTTCACTTTGGTGGAGATTATTTACATGTAGTGTCTTTTGAAAACTGTAGTCTGATAGCTAGAAACGAGTTTCTTCAAATATGATTTGTAGCTGTTGAAAAATCTTGGTTGTAATCAGAGAATGTTTATGGAATATCGTGTCTATTTAAAAATAATTTTATTTTATACATGCGTGTTGAATGGAGACAGTTAATGAAAATGAATATTGAACATAGTTTTACTGCTTGACGGGCGTACTTGGAATCTCGAGAGAAATCAGTCTTCTGTATGAGTTTAAAACTGGAACTAAGCCATAGATTCTTTTGAACTTTGGTTGACCTTTTCCAGCAATTCATCGATAGAATCAGATTCGTAATTGACAAGACTAGACAAATATAAAAATTAGTCACTACTCAATGTTTTTATCGATGTACAATTTAGCATTTTATCAGAAAATATCTTTCGATTAGAGGAGTAGACTTCATGATTGATAGATTGATTAGTTTATAACTGACTAGTAACGGATAAAGTATATGTTAAGTAATTCTGAGTGCTGATCGAATTCTACCGAACAAGTTATAAGCGATTTAATATCCCATATACCATGTTAAGATGTAAGATGTTGGTTAGAGTTAGTCAACGGACAACTATGAACTTGATATTTCAAAAAAAATTATCTTCTCATATCAATCAAGATGATTGAATCTTCTGGATTTAATGAGAATTCCAATCAAACAGTATACATCAACTTCCTACAAGCTTACAAATACAATTTGTTTGACTAACAAGAAATCTAGGTCATATAAGGCTTTTTTTCTCTTCAAACTGATCTAAATCTACAAAAGTATCTTAACACATTACATCACAACAAACTCATCATCATCATCTGAACATTTTATATTGAGAATTTGTTTTTAACTTGGCGTAATTTTTTTTGAAAATTCAATACAATAATTTCTCCATAAATTGTTCACTTTTTTTCTCATGATGGATGCATATACATTTGATTGTTACATTAGAAATAAAAACAAATTTCTATACATACACACACACAGCCACAATAATAATAATAATAACAATAATAATAATTATAATTATAATAATTATTATGATGATTAGAACACCTTTTTAATTTTTCTCAATTCTTCTGATTCATTTTCCAAGTCTACATTAAATCGTCGATCAATACGATATTCATTGAACTGAGAAAAAGAACAAAGAAAAAATTGAAAAGAGAAAACAAAATAAACCACCACCACCAACAACAACAACACTAACAATAACAACAAAAAAAGTATACTAATTAGAAGAAGATGAAGAAAAGAAATGTGTTAACACAAAAAGGGAGTGAAAAGCAAATGAGTTTTACTCATGGATTTAATCGAAAAACAAATACAAACACAAACACAAACTAAATTTACTAAGCCGATTAGATTAGATTAGATTAATTCTATGCTATTTATTCTACTAGTATTGATTAATCTGCGTTAAACGATTTATTAAGGAATGAGTAAATTCTGTTAGTTGAAGGAAGATTAAATATAAGATTTAAGTACAGTTGAAAACTGAAATGAATTGTAGAAGTGTTTCTGATTAGTGTAAGGCTCTTTAGAAGTTTGTGGAAGCTGTGTTACTTCAAATCGATGGTTCATCTTATCATGATTTCATGTGAACATACTTCTTTTTCTTCTTCTTGAAATGTATGGTGATGATAGTATCGAGAAAGACATTGAAAGGCGTTAGAGGCTGAGTTGAATTCGAACTGAGACTCATTATCTTAGTAGCTTGCAATTCGACTTCAAGGTTTATGAACAATTTTAGATACAATGAAATAAATCCTCCCTTTGATTTCTCTATATCGTACTCAGGTGATAGTAAGAAGCCGGTTGGATAAATTTATTTCAAACAGTCGTTTATGCAACTGGACATGGGAATACAAAGCCTTAAAGCAAAGTGAAGCGGCCTAGGCGTGTAAGCCAACTCAATGTGATAAGGCGTGAATAAGTATTTAAAGTCAGACAAAAATAAGCCACACATGCGATGGCGAAGTAAATACTGCACACACCTACACACAAACAAATAAAAATAATAAAGATAGAAGCGAATGATTGACAAGGTCGTCAGATGAGCCAATAACAGCTCGGGCAGTTATGGTTAATTAGACTGTCCGAAAGCTGTGACAAGCCATGTGGCTAGATAAGATATTAATACACATACTAAAAACTTCAGAAGTTAACCATCCTCAAGGATAAGCTAAAAAAGATATTCACTATCAGCTTCTCAGGAGTGCATACTCACAACTTTCAAGCTGAACCGATTTGAAGACCTCAACATCTCGCGTCCAACACCTTATCATTACAGTAGTAAAATCTAAAATCCAATGCATTTTTAGCATATACTATAATGATCACTGATTATCATTATTGACAACTAGGACATCAGTCATTTTATTCAATAATAAATCTAGCCCTTGTAAAAATCTGACTTACTTCATATTTAAGTTGTTTAATTTCAGCAGTTAATTCTTCAATTTGTTTAACATAATGCCATTTAGCACGTTGTTCCGTTTCAAGTATTTGTGATAAATGTAATTGTTTTTGTTCAGCTTCTTGTTTTAATTCTAACAATTTACTGAAACTATATTAAAATTTGTTTTTATTTTTGGGATAAAACAGAAAATGCACAACATGTGAAATAAACCAATTGATTTACTACTAACAATCATTAGTACTAGTAGTAGTAGTAGTAGTAATAGTAGATAAACTTAATTAATAATTAATTTTGTTTTTCAATTTCAGATAATAGTTATAAACTCATGTGTTTGGATTATGCAAGACAGTATAACCTAATGGGCTAGTTTAATCTCATTTAAGACTAGTCAGACGTGGGTCTGTACCTACTGTCAATTCTGTTGATGTTCACACTAAGACATGAACTCACTGACTTTCGTTTCGAACGCCAACAAATTATTCTCCATGCTAATGAGTTAGAATAGCTACTAATCTGTTTCATAGGTATGATATTTTCAAACCTTTTTTTGTTAGATGCTATTATTGCTACTCAATTTTATTAGACAGTATAATTTATCTTCCCAAAAAATAATGTATCCAAATGATTTATATTCGTTTAATTCATTCACTTATGAATAATAAATTTACATAAGCCTACCAATGACAATGATCATATAATTTGTGCATATTAAGTATAAGTGTTTGTAGATTTGTATATTTTGATTCACGAATAAATCATATCATTCTAGATAATAGCAACAATAAGATCATTTAAATCGTTATGAATAAAAATCATAGCTATTAAACAGATTATTAGTTGTTAAAACTCAATAGTTTGGGGAATCATATACCAGTGTTTGAAGGTTCACGGCTTAATAAGAAAAATCAACAGTAGACGTTAGTAAACAGACAAGTCTCAAATAAGATGAGACAATCTTGTTAGACTGTACTGACATTCATAAGCCAAATATATTAAAATCTGTGAAAAAAGAGGCATTACACTGAAGATCCGTAAGTACTAATAAATAATGCTAAAAAAATTTTCACTGAATAACAAAAACGAGTGATGTTCTAATTTCCTCAAGTAGAGAAATGATTCTTTCCAATAAAAAATGAACAGAATTCCAGAGAGTAACACTGAAACAGAAACTAATTGTTAAAATGTTTACATTTATATTGAAAATTCATTTGTGGTACAGTTCATCATAAAAACAAGGATTCATTTGCTCTATCCAACTAGGCTGAATAGATAGATTTGTCAATTTGAAAGAATTTAATTTAGCGTAAATAAAAAAGATAACAGATTGAAAAAGTATTAAAAGAGATCAATCAAGGGATACATAGGACAACCAGGATGCAGCTGGACTATCTGGACTTTGCAGATGATTAGGCTCTTCTATCGCACACGCAGCAACAGATGAAAGAGAAGACGACCAGTGTAGCAGCAGCCTCAGCAGCAACAGGTTTCAACATACATAAAGGAGAAGGCAATATTCTCCAATACAACACTACATACGCCAACCAAATCATTCTTGATGAGCACGCCTTGGAGAACGTTAACACCTTTACATATCTGCGGAGAATCATCGACAATCAAGGTGGATCCGATGCAGATGTGAGGGCGCGGATTGGCAAAGCAAGGGCTGCATTTCTACAATTGAAGAACATCTGGAACTCTAAACAACTGTCAACAAACACCAAAATCAGAATTTTCAATACAAATGTCAAGACAGTTCTACTGTATGGAGCGGAAACTTGGAGAACTACGAAAGCCATCATCCAGAAGATACAAGTATTAATGAACATTTGTCTACGCAAAATACTTCGGATTCATTGGCCACACACCAGCAATAATCTACCGAGCAAGAGAACAAACCAGATTGCAGTGGAGGAGGAAATCATGAAGAAGCGGTGAAAGTGGATAGGATAAACAGTGCGAAAAACAATCAACTGTGTCACAAGACAAGCACTCACATGGAATCCTCAAAGTCAAAGGAAAAGAGGAAGGCCAAGAAACATATTACATCGAGAAATGGAGACAGATATGAGAAGAATGAACAAAAATTGGACAGAATTGGAAAGGAAAGCTCAGGACAAAGTAGGTTGAAGAACAGTGATCGGAGGCCTATTCTCCATTGTGGGTGACAGGCGTAAGTAAGTAAGTAAGTGCAGAAGTAAGTAAGTAAGTAAATTCCAAATGATTTTAGGAATGTAAAGTCACATAACTAACCGAAAGAAGAAGTTAAGCTTCTTCCATACTTCCACCTTTGGTTATCCATTCAAATTCCAGAAGTGAAAGATTTCGCTGTAATAAACAGTAGTTTAGGTAGTCAGTATCTAAGTATTTAAGTGAGTGACGAATCAAAAGTTAGCTGTCATAGTTATCTATTAAGTTCCAATCACTCTGTTGTATGCTTTCCGATTTCTACTCTACCAAAACAATGTTCACAGTTTCTTTTTTTCACTCTGATCACTTATTCACATCAAGTTTCGCCAGATTTTACTACTAAATAACTCAATGATAAAGTTTTAGACTATGAAAATGGATTATGTAGGTCCAAACGCTACAGTAGGTATCCTTTCCCTCCAAATTTCAAATAAACCTTGTTGATGAATGGTAAGCAGTGTATGACTTAAATCAACTAGACCTTTCAAACTTCTACTTCCAATTATTTTCTGTGTAAAAGTCATGAAATAATTAAAAAGTTACCTGGAAAGAAGAGAATAAAAGCATTTCATGATACCTCAAATAAAAATGGTAATTTAGGATAAAATTAAAACAAAACTTGTTAAATACTTTTACTCTTTTATTATCATTACTATTGTTCAATTACCTGGCACTATTGATTGCATCCACCCACATGAAACATTCTTCTTCAGTATCAGCACGTAGATCATATTGACGTACACCTTCTTTACGAAATGATATTGTAAAATAATTCTTTTGATTGATAGTCGTGTGAACAATAAGGAAACCACACAAAAGACAAAGACAGAGAGAAAAGAGAGAGAAAAAATCAGACGAAGAAGAAGAAGAGAATCAGAAACATTTTTCATGTGGGGAACTCTAGTTTACTTTTTCAAGCAATAAATATATCTATCTATATATATATATATAAATTAACCAATACGAGTATAATATTGTTAACTCATCAGAGAATAGCTATAATAAATAAATAGGTTTATGCAGAGAAAAATGATCATATCACTTGAGACTTTACATTAATTCATGCATTGACGGAAGTTTGTCTTTTTCTGTCGTACAGATTTTGTTGTTCTATGATGTGTATATTAAACAGAGAGAGAGAGAGAGAGAGATAGAGAAATGAAAAAGATCGGCCGAACAATCTATCCATTCATCATGTATATATATATATATATATATATATATATATATATATATATATATATATATGTCTATAGGATATCCGTTTCGTGGTAAAGCAATTGTTTTACGAATATCTACATGGTTTTTTTTGTTTTATGATTTACATTTAAACATAGCAATATCGATTAAGGATTTAGAAATGAAGTTACAGTTTTTATTTTTTATTTTTAAGTAGTTTGTATTGAAATAGTGAATAGAACTTTCCTTCTGTGTTGTTGGAGAATGTTTTTTAACACTACAATAAGCTACTTTTTCCATGATCATATCACATGATTTAAGGGAGAAAAGTTAATGTCATGATTTGTGTTTATCCGATATTCGTTTTAGTCATATAAAATATCATCTGTACATGTATTTGATCAGATACTTAAGTGAGAAATTCAAAGGTGAGTAATAAAAAAATAGTATTTGTTGATTAAACTTGAATTAAGACTAAATGGGATTACTTATTGATGTATAAATGCATCTTCTCTCAAGAAATTCAGCTACAATATTTCAATCAATAGCATACTTCTCTTTCTTAGAAGTTCAAGTCAATAGCATGTAGTCGTCAGTATCTCTCATGACTTTTGTCTGGTTTGTCTAGAGTATAAAAAAAGTTATCTAAGGTTGAATTTTATATGCTTGAATGTTATTACAAGTTCAACTTACTCGGTAAACGGAACGAAAACAATAACTCAGTGACATGATAGGCTATTCTAATCCTGTTGTCCCTAGCCCGGCTAAATATATCAAGAAGTCTTGATAAGGCGTAGAGATTGTATTCTACAAGCACCCAGAATATATGAGGTCAACAAGCACACAAATCAAGCTTATTTATACAATGATAGCAACGTCCTTGGGAGAGCCACAAAATAACATACTAAAATAATCCATCAACCAATCGCAGTAAATGATTTTTGAGTGGGAAACGTAAGCTGACGGTCAACTAAGCGATTTATGCGCGAAAGCATAAAAAATCGAAAATTAGGACTTTTTCCAAGTGAGTTCTGGGGATCTAACCTCTCCAATAGAATTTTAATAAGAGAGCTCAAAAATCATCTTTTTTGGATTCATTCATCTTTTAGCCAACAAAGCAAGACTACTAATCTACACTGAAACAACTATAATTGCAGTTAGCATCTTACTTGTTTTTGCCTCATAGTTACACATACACATTGAATCGTCTATTGAATCCAAAACACTATCGGTTGTGACTTAATTGTGGGCATGCGCACCTGTACTGTTTTCAGTGTTCCAATAATGTAGATTAGTAAAGCTTTATTGTATCTCTTAGGTATTCCACGCTTCATTCTTTAACACTAGGTAATAATAGACGTCGCATATTTACTTATATTCCTATGTTAGGGTGGTATAGTTAGCTGCAGGTTTTGTTTTAGTTGTCATCTAATATCCTGAAAAAGTGTATACTCTAGGGAGCCACTTAAACTGGTAACCAAGACGTGTGTGATGTTTTTGAATCAGACAATGAGGTACATAGCATATACTAAAAAAGTGAAATTTTAGACAAAATCCAATTTTTTCCAGTGCCATGGTAATAGAGTATTTAAATGAATGACAATTCTGAGATAAGTTACAACTCTCACAATAATCTTTAGCTAAATAATCATTTAAAACTGATGAAAGTTGTTTTATTCAACCACTAACTTCTACAGAATCATGGAATCATGTTATCTTCAAAGGAAAAACTTTTTACAAAAATCATTTATTTTCAACAGCTCTTGAACTTAAGGTTGAAAATATGCTCCACTGATTTTTGAAATAACCCTTCAGAAGGTGAAGACATCTTTTAGTTAAACAGAATTTCATGTGATATATATATATATATATATATATATATATATATATCAAGGTTAAAACTCCGCCTAAAACCCTTTATAGAGTCCGAAAGCCGGATAAAGAAGAAGGGTCGGGCATGGAGCTAGCGACCTCATCCCGTATAAAATCAACTCGCTAGAAAAACACTAACCATAAAAAGTAATTCAGACCATTAACCTCCTGCTCTGGCAGTTGGAAGGCTTACATTTTGAAGAGTTTCTTCGAAAGTTGTAAGGCCGACACCCCTTCTGACTACCGGAGCAATAATTAATATGCGTACATGAAATGTTCGCGCAGAGTGAGTTATCAGGCCTAAAGAAGTAGGTAGGTAAGTAAATATAAAGATTTTACAAAATTTATTACTAAGATTGTTAGTTTTCATCAGAATATCTGGTCAAGAGATCCAGTTAGGCAATAATGATTAAGAATAGAGCGGAATAGTTCTAAAGACATTCCCTTCATTTCTGAATATTCAGAATCTTTGAATTACATTCATGAATTTAGAAATTCTGATCTCTCTTGTTTAGTTTTCCGATATTTACTAATTTTAAACTTCTTATTAAATAACTGTTAGTAATCTTGACAGATTTTCATCAAAAACCTGTTATTAGTGTAGAATTGTAACTTGTTAATAAATATTTTATCATTGAAGCGTCTAAACAAAAAATAATATTGACCACTGAAGCGTGACTAATAACGTTTGAGTGAAATGAACTATATTGTCATGTGTTTCAAGGTTAATAGACTATCTTTTTAGATTAGAATGAAGCATATATTCAAAGTTTAATGAATCACGAACTAATGTCGATTAGACTGTAATTGGAAACGAGGAAGTATCGGATGGTTGCTTCGTCCTAGTAGATGATTTCTCAGATGTGTGCAAACATGATTTCACCAGGGATCGAAACCAGAATAGACAAGTCTCATTATGAGTAGTTGACCTCTAGACTACTAATTATATACCTGTATAACTTGAATCAGTTGAAAATACCAAGCGATCGTTTTGCATTGACTAATATGAGTGATTGTTTCATACCAGAAATAGTTGAACTCCGATAGTCACAGTTTTTACTACAACTCTTGAAATCACCTCTCTAAATAAACTACTATCATGCATATAGTAATGATTAACATAAGATTTGTAGAAACTGTTAAATCATCAACAAATTAGATAACTAACTTATTTTGATCAAATCGCTTTTGAAAATCAAAATAGAATTTGATTGTTTCATTGAGTAAATTATTATTTTTTTGAAACCATGAATTGATCAATGTTAGACCACCATTAGAAACCTGGAAGCACTGCACGACGGCCGTTTCGTCCTGGTATGGGACTCATAAGCAGTGCGCATGCACGACTCCTGCACCTCGCAGGATTCGAGCCCAGGACCTTCGGTACGAACGCCTAACCATCGGACCACTGAGCCGGTATCTAACAGTGTTACTGAGTATGTTAAGTTATCCAATCCAAACTGAAGTTGCAATTTTTAAAAATATGGAGTTTGATTACCTGCATATCAAAACAAAATACTAATTACTAATCGTGACGTGAATTATTTCTCAACACAGACACTATATAGGCGGTAAAAGAAATGATTGACACTAGGAAAAAATACAATTTATCCACCTATTCATATTGGGGCAAAATAAAAATCATCATATGAAAATGATGAATTGAAAAGTTATAATAATTAAAAGTACTTACTAATCAAGGTAAATAGTTCATTCAGTAAAATGAAAAAAAAATTTTAAAATCGAATTTCATTTCCTATTTATGATAATTCAAATTTATTATTCTACATTCATCGATGCATTGATTGATGAATAAGGTTTTGTTCATTCCCTCCACCTCCTCTTCTTCCCTGTCATCATACTCTTCAAACTTTTCATTTAATTTTTTTTTAAAAAAAACAACTAATTTAATCGGAAACATTTATAGCTTTTAAAATGTCGGAATACAAATCATAAAAAAAAAAAACAAACGATAAGAACTGTAGTAGAAAATAAAAAAACTTGGACATTGAACGATAATGAAAGTCACATTGTTTATGCATACACACTGGTTTATGTTATTTCAGGTTTATTATAATTGTTGTTAATGCTTGGCTTTTTAGATAATTCATTATTTTTTTAAAAAATTAGAGAAGAAGAAAAAAAATGTGGAAAGTTGATTTAAACTAGAAATTTGTTGAAAATTCAATTTAATAAATAATAAAACTTGGAGTTTTTAAAATATGTAATTTAAATCATGGGATTTACTTTTTTTTATTTTTTATTTTTTGTTAATTGAGAATGAAATTTATGATTTTACTCTCTCTCTCTCCCTCTCTCTCAATGATTACTTCTTTTTACAATAATTTAATGTCTGGATAAAAATTTAATTATTTTGAGAAAAATAATTATTTATTTGTGTATAATGAATAGTGAGTGGTTAGTAGACGAATCTAGGGTCCAATTTTCTCTTAATTAAGACTTGTCAGCTGGAGATAAAATTAGATTTGTGTTGATATGAGCACAGGTAATCGAATTCAGTAATTTTTGCTTTCAATGCTCAACTACGCAATCTATTGGGGACAAGCTAGTGGCTATATGGAATCATTAGCTAAGTGGATTAAACTGATAGCTGTTATCCAACTTTACCAAACTACTTGTAAATATTTGGTAATATTGAGAGCATTCACATGAGATACACCCTGTTAAATTGTAGCTCATTATATCATTAATCGGAAGGTGCA